AATATATGTACATTTTTTCATAAAGAATTACGATTGTCACAATCACTTAATATTTGGATATAGTTGATTCATAAAATGTTAAAACTATCACACTTTGTGATGCGTCATTTGATTCTGCGTTTTTCCAGAAATTAAAAATGCAATACATAAAAAGATACACATATAGTGTAATTTATATTGCTCTATTTATGTAAAGCGTGCAAATTTTTTATCTGGCCTATTAAGAGAGGAAGCTGCTTTCTTTCATTTGTAATTATGTCAAAAATATAAATCCCATTAACAATAAGAAATGCTTGTTGGGTATACTGCCAGATCAGAAAGTATTAATAAGAACTATATAAAACGTACTCGGAAAAAGATGTTAGAAATTAATAAATGCTCAAATGAACAGAATACAGACATATGAATCAAATGATAACAATTGAGAGTGAATAAACTAAAATTTATAAAAGACACACATGGCTGTAATGTGCTTCAACGACTGCCAAGTACTGCCAATATTTGCTCACTGAAAGATCGAAATTTCTTGATCTCTAAACTATCTTTTTGGATTAAAACATATTCTTATTATCGTTTTTTAAAGAAATAATAGGAGACAACAAGAGAGACCTTTCTCTTCTGATATATTATAATACGTCATTGTTTCGGACAGCTTTGAAATGTCAATTACTTGTTTTACACGTCATCTTTTCCCAATTTGGAACATCGAAATATATGATATAAGCAGCAATCCCGTAATACCAGAAAGTTTCGCAAACTCCAATGCGGCAATAAAATCGATAGTTTCCGCACATTGTTATCGTCGATATAGTAATTACGTAAACGTTGTGCGTTTAATATGTCATCGCGGCTGTCAAGAAAGCGGAAGGGAACGCAGAATGTGATTTATATATTGTATAGATAAACATATATGATATATTTACTGGTTTTACGAATAAGATTAATCGTATGTGCTAAGTAGATATCGAGTGTCCGTTCTCGGTAGTCTTTGATGATTGTATAGCATACAGAGACAAGATCGATCCGTCGTTATACCATATACCACCGTAAATAAATCGCGGTTCCGTGAAAGTTACAAGATTTTTAATATTACACAGTTTAACGACGCACTAATTTGGTGCCAGTTCTTCACGCGCGTTCATATACAGGATATTCTACTATTACTGTAGAAAATGATTTGATTAATAACAATTTGTTAGCTCGACGAATTTGGGATTGATTTTTCGATAACAAAAGAAATTATTGTTAAAGGTTTCCGAAGAATATATTTTAAGGAATAAATTCAAAATAATGTTTCTGATAATTAAAATCTTGTTTAATTAATGAAGAAAATAAGTTTTAATCATCTATAATTCATAAATTTTGAGCCTAATTGCCTTTAAATCTTTTAAATTCAATATTATATATACACATAATATTAAATTGCTAAATTTTCATTTAGAGAAAATTGACCTCAATTTCGTCAAAACGTGTCATTACAGTTTCATCGGCGGGTTTTACACTCACGTTTACGTAAAGCATTGTACCGATGACCGCTCGTTTATTTTTTCATCGTCTTTTTAATGCCGTACAGCAAGCTTCGTAATTCGTTATTACTTAACATCGTCACTAAATAATAAGGTTAATCAATGTACGCGCGCGCGCGCGCGAGAACGTGTCGTGTTGATCGTTGTAAATCGTATCGTGATGCCGAGCCTGGATATTTACCTTGCCGTCAGTTTATATGCAGGAACTTCCGCGTAAGCTCCGAATACACAAGGATGCCTCGAATGCAAACTTTATGCGAAATGCTAACATGCGTTCGGGCGCATCGTGTCATCGTACATACGTATACACATATTATACGTACGCACGTCTACTCCCTGTATTGTTCAAACTTGCGTCGGTTGTATTTTTCGAGTGCACATCGAGAGGGCTTTTCCCGTGCACGCTCGGAGTATGATTATTGTCGTTAACCCTCAAGTGGACTTGCATATATGTAACGCGAAGACGGACCACTTGTCTTTTATGAATTAGCTTTTTCGCGATTTATGCAACACTTTCTATTATATAGTATTAACTTATTATTGTATTGTAATATATTACATAGTATTTCTTTTGTGTTACAAATTTTATTCATTTTATAAAGATAGAGAAAATATATAAAAAGTTCCACACAGTTTTATAATTTAATAGTTTTTAATGCTTTTTCAAAATCTCATATTTAAGTAGAAATTTTCAATTAATGGCGAAGTAAAACCCAAGCTTTTAACGTAATTGCACTTAGTCTGTACTTAAGGGTTATCGATGATGAAACTATAATTATTATAGATAAATATATCTGTGAAACTATCTTTCCGTTAATATACGCGAGTTCTTTGAAAGAATCATCGCAATTGCAGATAGGGAAATTGTTAGACGACGTTTTGGAAGTTGCATTATAAATTATTTGATCGTTTATTACATTGAAATAATGTATTGAAAGCCATCATAGTTATGCATGTTTGCATGCGCTAATTTTTATGATAAGAGATAATAGATCATCCTAAATTTTGTATTCTATATACATGTGTGTAGTATTTATTTTAGACTTGCATAAAATTTAGTTTTAATTGATGAAAAAAAAAACAATTTTTCAAGAATATTTAGGAATTAATAATCAAAAATTTATAATAGAAATCAAAAAGTGGAGAATTAGAAAAATAAATTATTAATTATTATATTAGATCTCGTAGACATAGACTTTATTATTTGATTTCATTAAATCTGTTTTAAATATACTTGCGTATTGTTATGTGATTGATTATTAATAATTGATTAATAATAAATATTTAAAAACAAGATATTTCTTAATTTTTAATTAATGCAGTAATAAAATATCAATTTTCGAGTTGGTGATAAATTCAAAGCATTGATATATAATCTGAACGTTTTTTAAATTGATTATTAAGATACGTCAAATAAACGATCGACTACTTTTTAATGCATCCATCATACTCCACGATCGAAGATTGACGCTGTTAGATACGCGGTATAGTCTAATGTGATATTCATAATACAATATATCCATAAAAAGCTTATATATCTCTCTCTTCCTCTTTCTCTCTCTCTCTCTTTTCCCACGCGTGTACTTCGCAACACGATACGAGAGTGCATGCGACACAAGACGTTTCACGGTGTACCTTAAGCAGGTGTATATTATACAAAAATGAAGTAAGTATTGTAGTCGACCGAGAAGAAGTGCATTTGCATTATGAGAACTTAATAAAGCGATACGTTAAAGAGCGTTGTTCGTTTTCTTTCCTTTTATAACCGATATCTTATTTTGTAGGATACCAGGATGCATGAATCGCATTTATTACAATGAGTTTAAAAAATTTCAAGTAGCTTAAAAAATATCAAGTAGCTTAAAAAATACAAAAACAGCAGCACAAAAGATTTAAGAAAACCAGCTTTGCACATAGAAAAATTGTTTGTATTAAATGGAATAATTATAAACCATTTCATCTCCATCCATAACAGACAGAAAATAAAAAAGAAAATAAAGTTACCTAAAGTTTTATATAAAAAATTTCAATGTTCTTTTTTTTTAAACATGTCCTTTTTACAAAATAATTATGTTATTCAGTTTTTTTTTATGTAATATAAGAAATTATTTTTGCACTTTATATTTGAATTAAGGGAAATAGGCGAAGATTAATTTTTTTCTCTCTATTAGATTTAATAATATGTCTTTTCTAACTTTTTCAAAAAAAATAGCATATATAAATATATGTATAGGAAGTAATATAATTAAAAAGAAACATACTAATATAATAAAGAAGCATTGCACTTTTATGGCAAACATTTATATTTTTACAGTACGAATGTTCTGAAGGAATTTTTACCTTTCCCTTCAATTTAACTCCCTGATTGTCACATGCCGATATATCTGCATAACATTTTACACGTCTCCACCGCGATATATATGGACCATACATTTCAAAGTTTTATAGTTAAAAGTAATTATTGATGAATAAAAATGAGAGAGACGCATATAATATCCGAAAAATTGTAATAAAGACAAACAATTTTTATAATTATATTTTATATATTCTACGTTATCGATATTTTTAATGTGTTTATGTGTATAAAAATTGATGACAAAACTAATGACACGACAATAATTAATGATATATATAACTTACAAAAAATCAGTGAATTAAATAGAAATCTTTTTATTTTTATAAAGAGATTTAATTTATCAATAAATTATAGATATTTTTTTTGTTTGAGAAATCAGCTGCATTATTATTACTACAAACTTTGAAATGAAAATATCAACTAACTACAAAATTTCTCACGCTAACGATATTTCAATTCTGAGGATGATAATAGAAAAATAGACTCCGTGTGTGTGCTGTCTATACATATATATAGACAGCACACACACAGTCTATTTTTCTATTATTATCCTATATCTATTATCATCATATATACATACACACATAATAGTATTTTATTATATCTTACCTTGAATTTTTCGAAGTAAAAATTGCATGTGTCTTACCAGCTTCGGGATGACGCCAGTCCTTCCGCAATCTGCTATGGCGGAATCATTTGAGCTGATGTTTGAAGATGGAACGCAGGATCAGGAGCAGGACATCCGTATCATCAGACTGCACTCATTATCCATCTGCAATTCCCTGCTAACGGTTACGATTTGCCATATAACTGCCACAGATCAGTCATAATTATCTTTACTTCTACGAAATGGATATAAGAAATTACTTACTAAACACAATGTTAACTGTGCTGATTGAAGCCGGCGAGAAATGTAAGGAGAGAATATATCTCTGAAAGAGAGAATATATCTCTGTTATATCTCAAACTTCACGCGTGAAATCATAAACGCAATTTGCTACGTTCATATATACACGATGCGCCATCTGTTGGTACTTAACTGCACTACCGCCGATATTCGGGGTCGATGACCTGTGATGGAAGCCATGTTAATAGTAATAGTAAACTGTAGTACATACCACATACGTCATAATGAATGAAAGTATATGTGTAGATGAATGATTTTTCAATACTGAACTAGCAGTCTATATCGGAACGCGCCTGAGAATGTCATGTCTTCATTAAAAGCGCGCGAATGTCATTCAAGTTTGTTTATGAAATTTATGTGTATATCTACGTGATGCGATTTATTAGTGGCGAACTGGGAATAATTAATCGCCATTTATAACCCTTACACGCTTTGTGTTGCAGCCCTACTTCAGTAAATATATGCAAGAAGCTAAATCTAACCTTATTCTAATCTGACCGGTTCATGCATCCGCGGACTCGCATCATCTTTCCGCTGTATATAAACAGCAATGACAAGACGCTTTGTAAACGTCGACTGATCTAAGGTAGTCGCATGACAAATCGCAACCGGTGGCAGGGAATTGCAGATGGATAATGAGTGAGTCCGATGATACGGATGTCTTGCTCCTGATCCCGCCCGATATATTCCACGTTCAGTCTTCAAACACTAGCTCGAGTGATTCCCCCAGAACAGATTGTGGGAAGACTGGTGTCATTTCGGAGCTGGTGGGACATATGCAAACGTTGGAGTCCCGTATTTGTGCTATCGAGTCCAGAGACAACAGTCTCGACGTATCCGCGCTGAACAATTCGCTGGACTCTCAGACAGTTCACGGCAGTGCGTCCTATCCTTATTATCGGCAGACCTTGCCCAGATTGTCAGTAAGTCAAAGCACCAGCCTGCAAAATACTCCTGTGAAACCTCGTAAACCTCTGTCCGTTCCCTCCACTCCCAGTGGGTATTCGACGCAGAACTATACTAATTTGGTGAAAAATGACATGAAGTCAGGGTGCTACCTTTCAACAGCTGTTACCTCTAATTTGACTACTACTAATACTCTCACTCGAGCAAAGCATGATACTCTAACATCATACTCTGACTCCTTTGTGGTACCTTCTACTTCTTGCGGTACTGAGCTCTCGCATGCTACTGCTATGTCTGTGAAGAAGGAATCCTTGTCTCTTCGTCCAAATGATTGTTGTACGAGTAACTTGTATTATAAACCTCATAATTCTTTACATTCAACAGTATCTGCGTCAAACTTACCTAATACATCAATAGGTCAGCAGCATACTCGTACTAGAATAGTGCAAGAGATGGAATTGTCAGAAGTTGACGAATTGCTTCAAGAAATGGAAGCCACTGAATTGGAGTTATCGAAAAGAATAAATAACTCTAACAGATATCAGTATCATAACGAGCTAGTTCATCCGATATTATCGACTCAAACTGTTGATGCTGTAAATAGTCAAGAGAAGGAGACACAACATAAACTTGGGGCATATAAAAAATTAAATTTTCTATCATGCAGGAAAGAGCCTCAACTCACTGATTCTTTATCAGCATTTTCTCAAAAGAAACCAAACAATACATTCCCTGATATATCATTACCATACAGTGAATCATTCCAATTAAATGAATCTAATAAAATGATATCTGAATTTAAGACATGGGAACAAAATGTTCAACAGCCTACTTCAAAAGCAGATGGGCATACAATAGAAAACAGTATAAAAAATATAGATCATTTATCTAATGTATCATCTGCTATAATTTATAATGCTAAATCAAAAGAATCAATGTCAAATCAAAATGTAATGAAAAGTGAAGCAAGTACAAACAATGTACATGTTCAATCCAAAGATTCTATTACAGACCCTCTATTATATGTTAGCGAATCAACTAAACTGTCTGATGCGATGCCATCGAGACCTGCACATTATAGTAATACAGAACATTTATCGAATCCTTGTAAAATGCCACAACACAATGGAAATGTACATGACGACACAGAAAAATCTGTATTTTCTAAAAGTGCTGTACATGTTGCTACAAATACAGATCCTCATTCAAGGTATTTTATATATATATAATTTTTATTGTATGTTCTCTTTTGCTTAAACTTTTGTTTAGAAAAATATAATATTATTGCTATTAAAAAAAAAATATGGTTAAATTTTTGAAATAAATTTTTGAAATAAATGATTGTACTAACAAGCTATTATAAAATTTACTTGTAGAAAATATCAGCGAGTCTTGTCACTTTCGGATTTTTGGGAAACTCACCCAGCTAGATCACAAGAAGAAACACTTAGAATAAAATTAGAAGAGGAGAAATTTCGCAGAGAGGTATAGTAAAAATGAAATATATATATACTTTTGCTTAAACTTTTGTTTAGAAAAATATAATATTATTGCTATTAAAAAAAAAATATGGTTTAAATTTTTGAAATAAATGATTTTACTAACAAGCTATTATAAAATTTACTTGTAGAAAATATCAGCGAGTCTTGTCACTTTCGGATTTTTGGGAAACTCACCCAGCTAGATCACAAGAAGAAACACTTAGAATAAAATTAGAAGAGGAGAAATTTCGCAGAGAGGTATAGTAAAAATGAAATATATA